ATCGAGACATCTGAGCCTGCTCCGAAGCAAACTCGGGGCAAAACATCGCCCTCTCAGTGAACATCCTGGTGATCTCCGTCACCGACTCCGAATCCTGCTTTAGCTCAAGGAACTCCTGAGCCAATCTCTCCCTCTCAACCCGCGGAACATAACGAGTGCTAAACATCTCTCGGAACTGATCCCATGAAACCGCAGCCCTCTGTGCATCCGAATATGACCCCCGTGGTCAATCTCCACCAATCCTTTGCCCCAAGCCTCAACAGGTTCAGAGCACACCTCACCCTCTGATTAGCAGGGCATGAACACTTGAAGCAACACCCTTCCACGTCTGAAAACCATCTCATAGAAACAATCGGGTCCTGAACTCCATCAAAAGTAGGGGGGCTTCGTATTATCGAAGTCCCGATACTGGAAAGCTCTACCAGCTCCTCCCCCTACCGCTGCTACAGCCGTTGTAGCCGCGGCGGCAGCTGTCTCTGCGAGAGCCGCATAACGCTCATCAAAATACTCCACCATGGCGGTCTTGATCGACCCAAATAGTTCCGGCATCTCGGCCCGGAACAACGCAGCAACCTCATCATGCAGGATCTCACGTATCCTAGCATCCAACTCGCCTGTGCTCATCTGACCAACAACCTCTGGCGGTACAGACCCGCCCTGACCTCCCTCTCCTGCTCCCGATCCCAACCCGGATCCGCTCCCAGCATGCCTCGTGACCACCATACTGAAAAACATCACAAAATCTCAGATACTTCCCACTAACCCGAGAACCAACTCCCAACCCAACCCTAGAGGTCATGGTTTCCCTGATACGCGTATGGGTCCTGTGCTTTTAGTAGTACGGACACATACTACCTTCCACACCTACCCATATTTGTATGAAGTACTACCACAACACCATAGTGATAAATATACAGAGCAAGCGCTCAATCCTCACTCCTAGAGGAACACTGAAAATCTCATACAGAAGGAAACCCTAGGCTAGCAGGCATCATAAAACTGGCAACATTATCATGAAATCCTGAAGATCCCTAGCCTAGTACTAACATGTTTTTCTATCAAAGCTCGAAAACAATTATCATGCATGGTATTTTGGGGTTACTTACTGGCTCCGACTGATCGTACCTCCGCGTCCTCCTTTTACTTAATTTGAAAACCATTTTAAATTCTCTTTTAAAAACTCTCCCTGATTTGAGACTGGATTCGCACGAATGTTCCTCCAATTCACTCAAACCAAGGCTCTGATACTAACTTGTAACGACCAAAAGTTTCAACAAAATTTAACATTTCAAAAACAACGCATTTTAATCATGTTATTACAAAAAGGTTTTCAATACATTTATTATCAGAGTATTCCCAGAACCATATCATAAATCACAAACACGAGGAGCGGTACGATTACGCCTTTGCCTTGCCACAGTCTCCTGAAGAACCTGAAAAACATTAAACCACAACTGTAAGCCCAAAAGGTTAGTGAGATACCCCCAAAATACCAACCACATATACCATACTCATAACATGCTATATCACAACAAATCACAGAATAACCATGCATATTGGGTCTACTGTGTGACAGGTCCGCCGTGTCGGGTCTTCAGTCCACCTGGTCCACCCTCCGAGTCTAGTCATGTCCCTTGAGTCTGCAGTATGGTTGGTCCGCCCGCACCGGGCCTTCAACCCACCTGGTCCACTCTCTGAGTCTACAGTATGACTGGTCCGCCCGCATCGGGATTTCAGTCGACCTGGTCCACTCTCCGAGCCTCGGTATGTCTGGTCCGCCCTCGTGGGGCCTACATCCTAACTGGACCGTTCGCTGGGCCTTCGGAATAACCGATCTGCCCTGGGTATGTTGGCCTACAACACAAAGCAGGTCCCGCCTCAACCCAACCCCATTCAAACAACCATGTGCACATAAACATACAATCATATAACAATTCACATTCAATCAAACCGATCTAGCAGATCACGTAACACAACATACTCTAAGCAGGATACCGACCTAACAGGTCACTAGCATAGCATCACCCTATATACCAGGATACCGACCTTAACCAGGTCTCTAATGAATACCATCCTAACTACCAGGATGAAAACATAGTAAAATAGCAACATAACAACAATACCCAGATTACAATCCGATAAAGGGCCGACCTTGGTGCCTTAGACCCTGTTGATATAGTGAGGATAACTCACCTCGCGACTGCTGACTGGAAAGATAAGATCGAGATGCTCCGACCACTGACGCGATCTCCACCCCTGGCTAGCACCAACACTGAACTCAAAACAAAAGCCAACAATTACCAAAATGCCTTTAGAAGTCAACTCGTCAACTATTGGTCATAGTCGAAGTCAAAGTCAACCTTCTGGCTGACTCTACTCACCGAGTCAGCCCGCTGACTCGCCGAGTCCCCCAACACTGAAAAGGAGCCATCTCAACTCACTGAGTCATCCCTTGACTCACCGATTCTTAGCTTAACCAGGAAATTATAAGACCTGAAGACCAGACTCGCCGAGTCCAAGGCTATCTTCAACCAACTCACCGATTTGTTCTTCAAACTCATCGAGTTCCTGCCCGCCTTCAAGCAACTCGCCGAGTACACCCTTGTGACTCGCCGAGTACCACTAGATCTTAACCCATACAGAAGCCTTCCAGGCCATGCAATCGATCAAAAACGTAAATCTACCCTTCTACAACCCTTCCATCACGTAAAGTGGCAAACTTTACGTGAATCCAAAGAGATCTAGGCATTTTACACTCTATGGCTAGGGTTTGGGACAAGATGGCTTCACCAAACACTCAATAATAGGGACTCTAATGCACTCTACACCTTCTCTATTCCAGATCTGAGGTAGCAACCTCAGATCTACCCTTCAAACTGTAAATACCACAAGCTAAACTTCCCATACATCCCAAAAATGATGAATCTAGATGAATAGCAGCCCAAAAAGGAGATAATACCTCAAAAAGGAAGCCCCAATCAGCAAGGAAATCCGAATCTAAGCAAATCCCCTTGCTCCAAGACTCCTAACTCTCCAAGATCTTCCTCCCACTTTCTTCTCCAAGGCTCAAATGCACTCAAATCCTTCACAGTCACGTTTCTAGGGTTTTCTGGACTTCAAGGGAAGGTAAGGAGGCTGGGGAGAGGGTATAATGTCCTTTATATAGGGCTCCTTCCCCGAAATTAGGGTTTTCTTCACACAGCGCCTACTCGCCGAGTCCAGCCTTGGACTCGCCGAGTTAACCACTTAACACGCGACCTGAGTCGCGACCCTACTCGCCGAGTCCACCCATGGACTCGTCGAGTTGCCCTTTAAATTTACACTTTGAACCCCGAACTTGCACTCTTGGACTCGGGATGTTACAGTATTTATCATATTTTTCTGGGAACAAATTCCGCAAAACTTTTCTTTAAAAGGTTACTCTGATTTTCAAAATAAAGCATAAACAAATCGGTCTTTTCTGGCCATGAAAATGGGGATGTCACAACCACCACCACAATAACCATAATGACCATAACCAAAACAACAACAATACCACCACAACCACCAATAACAAAAAGAATAATATCAATAACACCACCACCATTAACAACAACAACAAAAAATAAAAACAACAACAACAATAACAACGACAACGATGACAACAATGACATCATAAACAACAACGACAACAACAACAACGATGACAAAAACGGCAATAAAAGTAACAAGAATGATGACAGCAACGACAATAAAAGTAACAAAAACTACGACAATAATAACTCCAACAAAAACAACAGTAGTAGCAACAACAACAACAACAACCCCAAGCACAACATCAACAGTACCAACAACATCATCAACAACAACAACAACAATGACATGGTAATACTGCTAGTAATATAGTTTTGCTCTTCTACTAAATCCACCTTGTAAACCATGTTTATTTTTTTCAAAAAAAATTATATAAAAAAGAAAAACAAATATGTTTACACATATATATCATAATAATAAAATATAATATTCATAATACAATGTTTTCCATATTAATAATATTAATAGTAGTAATAATAAAAGTAAATTACATGAATCGTCCATGGTCTAACTACCAATCTGCACGTTCTGTCCCTATTTTTGAAAATTAACTTCGACCGTCTGTCATACTTTTAATTTATGTCCGCTGAGTCCTTATCAGCATTAGCCGTTTGTTTTCTCCGTTAGGGTGACCCACATGCCTAGTATGTAGGGGTATTTATATCATTTCAAGTCATGTGTATATGATCAACTATGTATGCCATACTAGTACAACCAAACATTTCATACCTAGTCCTCGATCAAAACCTTTCTCTTCTAGCAAAAGCCCTAGTTTTCCATCAAAAGTGAAGAGGAGTGGGTGGCGAGTACAAATAGAGGTGGATGAAATACATATAGAAGCAACTTATGGTAAGGTAATCCAACTATTTTCTGCTTTGTTCTTGATTATTTCAACCCCGGTTTTAAAATTTTTGTTGTTTTCTTTCTTTTGAACTTGGGAATCCAACCATTTTTAGTATATGCTTGCACCGTGAAGTAGAGTTTACTAAATTTCCTATGAGAAAATACATCAAGGGAAAATAGAAATTTGTAGACTTGATTGCATTGATTTATTCTTAGTTCACGAAATTGATTGTATGGTCGAGGAGTCATGTTGCGGACAAGAAGGTAGATTGTGTATTATCACTTTAAATGACCATAGGGGATTTAGATTTTGGGTTATTTGCATTGGGTAGTGACCAAGAAGTCAACCACTTAAGGTCCTACGTTGCTAAACAAAACCTAATAGAAGTTTATACAAACTTTTGGCATACTGACTTGCATACATATGCTATGTCTCCTAACCCAACAAAAATCCGGATTCGAGAGATTGTTGAACCCCCTTTTGTGTTAGAAGGTTATGGATTGAGTGGATTGACACAACCATAGTTGAACTCCTTATTTCTGAACCAAACATGAAAACACATAGTGAAGTTGATGTTGCTCCTATGAATGAACCAAACATGAAATCCCCTATTCAAGTTGATGTTGCATGTGTGAATGAAACAACCATGGAACCCCCTATTCTAGTTGATGTTGCACTTGTGAACGAACCAAATATGGAACCCCATAATAAACCTATACTTGAACCAATTACTGAACATGTTATGGAACCCTTTAATCAACCCCTAGGTGGATCTAGTGATAGTGAGGATAGTGAAGATGCAAGTGACATTGATTATAATGATTTCTTTATCAATAAGGATAACTTGTTGGATGACCCTGGAGTGGACATGCAAGATTTCTACACAACATTGATGATAATTTTAAGTGGGTTGGTGGTATCGTTATTACAATAGACAAGGTAGTCATATATGATGAGATAGTGGAGGTGATTTAAATTGATATTCTACAATGTAGTTCATCATCATCTGATGAAGGTTAATTGAGTAAAAGAAGAAACAAAATTAGGGTTGTTGAAAGGACGTAAAAAATGTTGCAACTCAAGTGAGTGAGCCCTTCTATATACTTCAAACATTCACATGTTCTATGGAATTAAAATACATAATTTAGCTACATCTAGTAGAGACAAGAAGAGAATTAGGTATTCTCAAGAAAATAAAAATAAGGTCATGGAAATGTGTAAAGGCACAATACCAAATATGGGGGATACTTAACACATGAAGGAAAGGTGGACTAAGCCAAACTAGTAGGAAAAGTGGCTCCAGTCAAAGTAATATGAAATATGGACCCAATAAAACTTATGAGAAAAGAGGATCAAGTAAAAGTAACAGTAAAGGTGGGCCCGATGAAAAGAAAAATATAGTGAAAAAAGGTGAAATAAACAAGTGCCCTTGGAAACTTTAGGTGTGTAAATGGAAAAATATGATGATTTGACAGCGAGGACGTATGAAAAGGAGAATAAATGTTGGAAAACCATAAAAATCAAAGCTTCTAATTACAAGTCTCTTTTTAAACAAAAACTTGAACAACTGGAATCTAACCTAGAAGTACCAATCAGGGCTTTAAAGGAGAAGATAAAGAGGAAATACCAAATTTAGATGTTAGACAAAAAAAGTGTTTAGGGCAAAAGATAAATCCCAGTAAGCTATTATGGGTGATTTTAGGGGTCAATATTTAATATTAAGGGACTATCTAATGGAGCTCTTAACTCAAAACCCAAATACCACTATCAAGCTTCAAGTAGATAATGTTACCAAACCTGCATCCGATACTAGGATTTTTTAGATGTGTGTGTGTGTGTGTGTATATATATATATATATAGGTGTGTGTGTGTATGTGTTTGTATGTGTGTGTGTTTGTTTGTGTGTGTATGTGTGTGTTGGGCCTCTTAAAAAGGTTTTTTAGTAGGGAAAAGGGACTTTCTTGTATTAGACAATGCATTCATAAAAGGCCCATACTCTGGTATGATTATAATAGAAGTGGTAAGTAACCTAATGTGTTTACTTTGAAGTTATATTATAAAAATGTCATTATTATAGAGTTTAATATAATTTGTTTATACTATTATTAAGATTATATGGAAACAACTACACTTACCTATTGGCATATGGTATTGTAAACTATGGGAACTTCAATTCATGGTCATGATTTCTAACCAATCTTGGCTATAATTTGGATTTCCATACCAGTTCAAACTTCACATTTTTAATTGATAGGCAGAAAGTAATAATCCACTTAATCTAGCTAATTAACCATCAATATGGTTTGTATTAAGTATATAATATTGAATATGTTTGTACTTTAGAGTGTTTTGCCTTCAATTGCAAAAAAATTCACATATGTAGAAAATAGATTTTGCGTTTGTTTCCAAGACAATATGAAGCTGAAGTGGAGGGGCAAGGAGGTTAAATACTGTGTATGGAAATGTGCAACAACATCCACTGCATAACAATTTAACAATGCAATGCAGGAACTAAAGCAACTAAACAAGCATGGATATGAATGACTTAAAGCCATTCCACCCCAACACTAGTATAGGTCTCACTTCATAGGTACGTCATACATTACAACATCTTTTAATTTTATTGTTTGTCTACATTTGAAAAGATTATCGACAAATCTTGTGGCACATATACTTCTACAGGAAGAGCATAATGTGATGCATTATTAAAAAAACTGTGTGAAACATTGAATACAAAACTTGTTAGTGGTCGTGACAAACCAACTATAACATGATTGGAATTTATTAGAGAGTCCATAAGAAGAAAGTTTGTTATTTTCCAAAAGACAATTGAAAAATGTTGTGGCCCGCTAACTCATATAACTACAAAGACTATAGAAAATATCAAACTAAAGCTTTAGAGTACATGGTTGTGTAATGAAAAATTTCAGGTTATAAGTTAAGCTGTGGACTAATCTGTAGTTGATATAGGACACCATACATGTTCATGTAATAGGTGGGAGATCACTGGCATGCCATGCAAGCACACCATTACAGCTATATGGGATATGAGGAGGAATTATGAGAATGTTGGGATACTTGAAACATGGGTTCACCCTATATACTGGTTAAAGACATGGAAATAGATGCTTGCCTTTAAAATTGAACTAATTAATTGGAGGAAAATGAGGGAAAAAAGTCATTTTCCAACAAAGTTACTACCATCGCAACATTATGTGCCTATTGGTAGGCAAAAAAAGAGAAAAGAATAATAGTTGATATAGAAGATGATGGTGCTAGGGTGACTAGTAGGACCAAGTCAGTTGTATGTTCAAAGTGTGGAAATGTTGGGTATAATGGTAGGATCAGCTAGGGGCAAGCAGTGAAAGGATCACAAACCATGGGTAGTGGTGTGGGACAAAATGCATGTTATGTGAGCAAGGGAAAAAATCGCATGGTTTAGTGTTTATGTACTATTCTCATGTATTTTCGTTGTCTAATTTTTATGATGCACTTAAAATAATCATCTTAAATTTAGGTCTATAATTTTAGTTTGAAATAATTTTGTGCTACATGTTTTACTATTTTGGTGATGTACTTCAAAATATGTTGACTGGATGAATGCTTGTAACTGTATGAACGGATAATTAATTTGGTTATTACTGCATTTTATGTTTAATCTCCAATGTTATGTTATAATTTCTAATGCTCTGCATAAATGTTGTAAATTGTAATGGTAGGAATGCATGTTTTTTCCAATTACCAAAAATAACACAACAATTTTATTAACTTGCAAACTAATGATATCCAATGCAACATAAAGCCAACATATACATAATAACATGCTAAACATATATGATAAGTTAACCTACACTTTGTACACAAGAATTGACACAAACAAAAACCAAATAATAGCTAGATACAACTTTAGTTTCAGATTTTATTATTCAAGTTTCATCCTAATGTTCATACATGCACACTTTTGGTCCTCCACCAACCAACCAATGAATTTGAAATCACGACCCTACAAATTTCAAAATTTCAAACATTTAATAGTGCTAACGTTTTGAAGGATTATTCTTTTTCCATAAAGTATGAATCATAACTTGAGATCCATAATTGTACGTAATGGTCATTTTGATTTCTTGGTAGAAAAACCTAAACAAAGAAGAAAATAGGGAAAAAAGAACGAGGATGAAGAATACTAAGAGAGGCAAGCAAAAAAGGATAGGTGCAATTGCTCTAATAGGGAAATAATTGAAATGATGAAAATTCCCCTACATGCTAGGGACACAGGGCACTCAAACGGAGAAAACAAAAAGTTAACGTCAATAAGGACTGGGAGGACATTAATTAAAAGTATGAGAGACAATTTATGTTAATTTTCAAAAATAGGGACTGAACGTGAAAATTGGCTCTTAGACCAGGGACAATTCATGTAATTTAATATATATATATATATATATATATATATATATATATGGGTATAATGTAGATGTAAATACTTTTTATATTAACATGCATATTTATTCATTTATTTTATTCATCATGTTGACATTTTTAAGCTACAATTGTGCTTATTTTAGGACAAATGGTACTTAATTTGTCATAAATCTATTTTGTAGCGACAAAGACATGCTCAAGATAAAAGGAAAGCAAAAATGCGGAGCTGGAAGCAAGGAAACCAGTACCTGATCAAAACAAGGCAAATTTGGCATATACTCTAAAGCCTATGGTGTGGGGATGTCTGGCCATGCCGTTGTACCCGAGGATTCATGATCAATTTGGCATACTTGGCCTTACGTGTTTTCCATGGATGCCACACCATGGAGGGCTTTAGCCATGACATGGGGGACGGTTTTTATGTATCTATATAATGTCTTTTCCTACCATCAACCTTAGATAATACTGGAAGATAATTATAAATTTGGCACCTAAAGAAGCAATAGAAGGTGGAGAATAACCTCAATTCGTCTAGAGTTCATGATTTGGAGAGATCGAAGGCAATTTTACTTTTAATTATTAGTTTTCCTTGATTTACATCATTTCTTTCATTGGTAACTTCAAATTTATTTCTAGTAGTTATGGACTAAAATTCCTAACTTTTGTTTCGATGTAGAGGATCTATGTTATTGTGTGTTGATTGATTGGATATTTAAGTATTTATTAGTTGTTTACTTATTTTGATAGCTTGATAAAGAACCTTTTGTGTTAAAGACAACCACTTTTGATGTTTATTCTTGAGATTAGATGAGCATTTTGTTTTAGGATATTTGAATCATATAAATTTGTTATCATTAAAGTTATAGGATTAGAATTTTGATCATAAACCTAGGATTAAATAGAAAAAGTGGGTAATTTAATGTGGAAGCTAATATATGATGATCATTAATATGTTAAAAAATATGTTATCATCCATTAATGTCAATTATTAATCTAGTCTAACTTAACTCGAACTTAATCCTAATTATCTTGCTTGTTTATGCACTTGATCAATGAATAAATAAACACGATAATTGGAGGATTAGTATTTTGATCATAAATTTTAATCACTTTATGAATCAGTGAACAAAAAATAACTAATTCATAGTATTATCCAAGAAATGAACCATAGGAGTATTTGTGAATCAAAATATGAACATAAGTCTCTTCCAATTCTTGCTTTTCATCAGAATTTTGATTGTTTTTTCAGTTTGTTTAATTGTTGTGTAGTAGTTTGATCTAAGTATTTAGTCTAGCAAACCTAGAGAAAAAAACCCAAACTTTTATTACTTGTTATTTAGGTAATTTTTAGTAGATAATTTAGCTTTTAAGAACTGTTAACTGAGATCGATACCCGACTAACCTGAACTTTGCCATAATTGATTAGGTACACTGCCCAGTTTCATATAGTTAGGTCTAGTTTAGTTGGTAATTAAAACTAGTATATAAAACACGTATCAAGTTTTTTCGCC